CACAGCTGGTGAGCTCAGTGCCAAGAGCCGAACCCGCGCTCTGCACCTGGGCTCGGAGCGCAGCGCACTTCGACCCAAACCGTCCTCCCCTCCGTCCGTCCGAAAGGCGTGCGATGGCCAGGCAGCCGGTGCCTGGAGGACGGAGTCCCGGCTGTCAGGCCCAGCCTTGGTGGGACGCCCCCACCACGGCCCTCTCCCCCCACCCCAGTGGTTGTGGTGGCCACTCAGTGGCTCCGTGCCCTGTCCTCCCCGGGCCCCGCCAGCCCCCGGGTCGAAGAGCCTTGTTTTGTGTCCTGCAGCTGGGCTCCGTGGCCTGCTCGCCCGTGGACTGCCCCATCACCTGCTCCTACCCTTTCCACCCCGACGGCCAGTGCTGCCCCGTGTGCGGAGGTGAGTGGGACCCGCCCCCATGCCCGCGGCCCGGGCGGGCCTGGCGCTCAGGGCCTCTCCTCTGCCCTGCAGACTGCAACTTCGAGGGGAGGAAGGTGGGGAACGGCCAGGTGTTCACCCTGGACGACGAGCCCTGTACCCAGTGCACGTGCCAGGTGAGCGGCCCCTGCTCCGGCCCTAGTCCCTCGGCAAAGCTCGAGGCCCTTAGCCGTGTGAGCCCCTGTCCCTCCCGCCCGACTCCCGCTCGGATCGCCTGCCTGATCTCCCTGGGAGGCGACCTCCCTCTGCCGTCTCCGGTCTCTGTAAGGTTGTTTGGTGCACCTGCCGCTTGGTGAGCGCTCGGGTGAGGGCCAGGCTCTGCAGCCTCGGCCTTCGGGTCTTGCCGTGGGTCCCACAGCTGGTGCAGCAGGCCTTTCGGGGGGCTGCTCCGGGCGGGCGGGGTGCTGGGGCGCCCTCACCTGTGCCCTCTATTCCCCAGCTGGGAGAGGTGAGCTGTGAGAAGGCGCCCTGCCTGCCGGCCTGCGGGGACTCTGCCACGCCCCCCGGGGACTGCTGCGCCTCCTGCCCAGGTACGCAGGCCGCGGGGTCTGGGTTTCTCCACCGCCTTCCTCCTACAGACACAGAACCATAAGCGCAGGGTGTGGGACACAGGCTCCGAGAGGGGACGGGGCTCGCACTCGGTGGGCCCCGGCCGGGGACACGCTGTGTGACAGGTTTGTTTGTTCGCGGTGCCTTCTTCCCCCTGGTCTCCTTCCTCCATCGCTTCCTCCGCTTTCTTCCTTTTTGAGAAATTAGAGCTTGGGGGCCGCCCCCCCTTTGCAGGAGGCTCCCTGCGAATATGCACCGAGGCCTCGATGTGCCAGGGGCCTCCGGGGCCTGCCTTCCTTCCCTTTTCCCAGTGGCTGAGACAGACGCCGCCATCACCCCCATTTCCAGGGGGGCGCCTGAGGCACAGCGGGGCAGTGAGCGCTCGAGGTCACGCTGCCGCAGCAGAGCCGGGTTTGAGCGTGGAGCCGGGGCTCTCAGCTCCCGCGCGCTCTGGACTCCTGAAAGCTACTCTCCCCTGTGTCTCCCTCCGTCGTCCGTGCCCGCCCACGCGGGTCACTTTCTCGGGTGTAAACGGGAGACAGGCCGCCGCTGGGACACACAGCTGTGCAGGGCTCCTGGGCCGTGGCTGGCCGTTTAAAAAGTTCCCGAATATTCCGGTCGCTCACCTGCTGCCTTTTCGGCGGACGCTTCGATAGCTTCTCTCTTTTAAAAAAAATATAATAATACATTTTATTGATTTTTTACAGAGAGGAAGGAAGAGGGATAGAGAGTTAGAAACATCGACCAGCTGCCTTCTGCACACTCCCTACTGGGGATGTGCCCACAACCAGGGTACATGCCCTTGACCGGAATCGAACCTGGGACCTTTCAGTCCGCAGGCCGACGCTCTATCCACTGAGCCAAACCGGTTACGGCAGCTTCTCCCTTTTTAATTCTATCCGGTAATGTCCGTGCTGCGAAACATCTTCGGTCAGACGATGGTTTTCTTAAGTTTTGTGAGTTGCTTTCGGACACGTGGGGAGTAGGTGCAGTAACGGGGTCTCCGGGCGTCAGGACGCTTTGGCATCCGGTACCGCGTGACCACAGCGCCGTCACCAGATGGAGAGGGAGGAGCCTTCCCGTGGCGTGGGGTTCCCGGCGCCCCCCCACTCGCGACCCCGTGTGGATGGAATTTAACTCTCCCAAGTTCACCCGTCTATAAAGGACCTTAAATGTGGTTCTTTTACGTTTTTTAAAAGTTTCCCCACCGCTTTGAGGCCTGCAGCTTCTCGCGTGTAAAACGTCTCGCATAGCCGTGGGGCTGCTGTGGGATGGTCTGTGTGCAGGGCGGCTCTCGGGTCTGTGGACGCAGAGCCGCTGTCAGGACTGGGGGCTGCGGGCGCCCTGAGCCCCGACAGCCAGGCCTTGGGAGCCCCTGAGAGCTTTATAGATTCTTCCTCAGTTTACCCACCACCCACTCCTGTGCCAGCCGAGAGGTGTTATTCCCGAGCTGTCCAGACACTAGCCGTTAGCGGAGGTGCCCGGCACGATACGGAGCGTTTCAGCTGTATTTCTCATTTGCATGCTCCTGGGAACATTCGAGAGTGGCCGTTATCATCCCATTTTGCAGATGGGGAAATAGAGGCTCAGAGAAGTTCAGTACCTGTTTTTAAGCTGTACTGGTGTTGACTCCAGGCTAGGTCTCTTTATTTTTTACTACGTTTTTATTGATGTCAGAGAGGAAGGGAGAGGGAGAGAGAGAGAGAGAAATACCAATGATGAGAGAGAATCATTGATCGGCTGCCTCTTGCAGGCCCCCTAATGGGGATGGAGCCCGAAACCCAGGCATGTGCCCTGACCGGGAATCAAACCGTGACCTCCTGGTTCCTAGGTCGATGCTCAACCACTGGCCACACCGGTCGGGCCAGGCCGGGTCTCTCTGATCCCGTCACCCTGCTCTTTCCCACTCCGCTCTCCCGCCTCCGGATGGGGAAAATGAGGCCCAAAGGAGTGAGGTACAGCGGGGCGCCATCTCCTGAAACACAGCCTCCGTTTCCTTCACCACAGACTCTTCCTAACTCCTTTGAAGGACAAACTGCTTTTTATTTAAATAGAACATGAATTTTTTTTATAACAAACAAACAAAAAATAACGGCTGCCCTGGCTGGGTGCTCAGTGGTTAGAGTGTGGGCCTCGGACTCGAAGGGTCGCAGGGTCAATTCCTGGTCAAGGGCACCTACCTCGGTTTGATCCCTGGCCCTGGTCAGGGCCCAGGAGGGAGGCAACCCATTGATGTGTCTCTCACATCGATTTCTCTCTCTCTTCCCCTCCCTCCCTTCCACGCTATAAAAACCAATGGGAAAAAGATCCTCCAGTGAGGATTAAAGTGAGATTTAAAACACACACACACACACACGCACACACGCACACACAGTGTGATTCCCATGCCGTCCACGTCACACCCCCCAGCGGACCGTCCAGGGTGTGAGTGTGAGAGTATGTGTGTCCTTGGGCGGTTGTGGGTGTCGCTGGTCAGTGCGTTCGTGTGTGTGTGTGTGTGTGTGTGTGTGTGACAACAGCCATTGCCTCCGGGGTCTCCGGGACGTGCCTCTCTCCAGCCCTCCCTCTCCGTCTGCCCTCCGTCTCCACATCTCTCTGCCTCTCTCCTACCCCTTCCTTCCTTTCCTTGCCCCGCCCCCACCCATGTATGAAACCCCCCAGGATGTTCCAGGCTCCAGGCTGAGATGAAAAAAAAGCCACTTTACAATAGATTAATCTATAGAGCGGTTTCAGGTTCCCGGCAAAGCTGAGAGGAGGGACAACGCCAGCCCACCCGCAGCAGGTGGCACATTGGTTAGCGGGGGACCCTATGTGGACCCAGGCTCACAGCTCGCCACCCACAGTGCGGAGTTCCCAGTGGGGTTTAGGCCGAGACGTCCCGGCCCCGTGTCGGTGGGTCCTCACAGCGGCCCTGTGCACCCGTCATTATCACGCCCATTTCACAGATGGGGAAACAGAGGCCCGGGCAGTCGTGTGCCTCACACGACGTCACGGCCAGTGCGTGGCAGGGCCTCTGTGAACTGCCTCCCTTCGTACGTGTCTGGTCTCCTCTCCCGACTGGGCCTCACCGGGGCTCGAGGCCTCAGACGAGGAGGGGGCAGCGCCCAGAGCTCCCACTGTGCCCGTTTGCCCCTCTCTCTAGATTCCCCGGAGGACGGGCGGGGGCTGCCCCCTCCTGCAGACGCGGCCCTGAGCCCCCGCAGAGCCCCCTCCCGCCCCCCCAGGAGCCTCCTCTCTACCTCCTGCCTCTCCCGGGGCTCCTGCTACTCCAGAGCCTTCAGCCACGGCCTCTGGGGCCCACACGGTGTCGGGGTGGCCTG